AGAGAGAGAGAGATTTGAATTTTAAATGCAGCTTTAACAATCTTTCAGTCATATCGCTACAATGGCTGCAGAGTGGCAGCTTATAGTGATGTCTAGTACTGGGGCATCAAGCTGCACATATGTGACATGATGTCTAACCCAGTCACATTATCCTGACACCAGGCGACCAGTCCTAACACTAGCCTCTTAATGTCGAGCGCCATAAAGCTAATATAAAAGTTTCATTCACGACTGAATTATTAAAACATATCAAATGACAAATACCAGTATGTACATGACATCATTAAATTTATCTTAACCTTCTAACACGCTAAAAATGATTACGTCATGAAGCATAATTAGATGTTGTTTGACATTTTTGTATTACCAATTATTATATGCTCATTTATGGCCAAGGACTATCCAGTCTTTCTAAAAGACATCCCATTTTAAAAGTTCCCTAGCAAACAATGTTTAATCTTGCACCTATCTGAGATTTCCAATTAAAAGAATTCACATTTCTTCCCACCTTATGAATCAAATCTATCAATGACAGAACAGAAGCATATGAGTAACTGCATCATAGCCAATCCCTCAGTCACAAGTACATCGTTTTGAACTGATCCACCTAATAAATCCAGTCCATCATAACTACTAAAGCAGAATTTAGTTGTATCAGAAGAAAAATAAAATCCCTCCATTCCATTATAGCGCTGTCCGTTACGGATCACTGCCATCTCACCTCTGTCTGCGTTGGTTCGAGTCTAGGATTCGGCGAATGTGGATATGTGAGAAAGCTTGCCAGTAGCTTCTCGTGGGTCGGTGGTTTTTGCCGGTGATTTCCCGGTTTCTTCCTCCACCAATAATACTGGCCGCCATGAATAGCCTATCGTGTGCTGAAAAATGGCGTTAAGCCGAACAACAACAACAACCATTCCATATCAAATGGAAAATTATTTCAAAGCGCATTCATTCACAACATGATTTTAAATTTCAATTATAAGTAGACAAAAACGAGATTTATTTTTTTCACGAATCACTGAGTGTGTGTTAAGCTACCAAGTTTCAAAGGCTGCTGGCTGTGCTGTTTGCACATCGATACTGTTACTATGCATTGTTAAAATTATTATAATTGTTATTATTACTTTAGAATCCAGCATAAATTCAATTACTTTGTTTCTTGTTATTACTCAGCCTAAAATAAAGAAATAAAATGAGTATAAAATAAAAAGGGTAATAATTGGTAAAATATGAACTCGTTCTTTATCCAAGTAAAACTACACATTGTGCTGTGTAGTCAGGAAAAAAAATGTGTCCATATTTCCACATTCAAACGCAGCAACCTATCATTACAAATAGATATTTACAATGTTAGAGTGCACCAGGACTAGCTCATGTTGCAAGTCTGAAAATATCAATTTTAGAAACTGAACATTAACCTAATGATTTTGAGTGTTTTACGCAGTGTATTTAGCCAGATAGCACATAGATCTGACGAAATAAATTATGAATACCACTTGAAAAATGATAGTTGGTTGAAATCTGATCGTGAAAACGAAAGGTCATTGATGACTTCATTCCTCCATCAATTTATTAATGGACAAAATTGACCTTCCGTGTTCAAGACCAGACTTCATTACTCTATCAATTTTCAAGTCGTATATAAAATTGTTTTTTAAGCATTCTGCAACAAATAAACAAGTTGCTTGAACAGACAACTCATTAAGATTACAGTCATCTGAAGAATAGTTTACCTATGCTTGTTTGGCACATAATAATATTGTTTGTATTGTTATAGGATTGCTAATTAGTAATATACATGAACGTACTCAATAAAGATTATATTTTAATATTGTTAAATCTTATACACAGAAAAATATTTGGATTTAGCTCCTTCACATTTTTTTAAAAAAATTTCATTAATTTGTTCTATGACTGACCAGTGATTAAGAATAACTGGTTGCCAATATGACATGACTTAAATTTACTTACATTAATTTTTAAAATATATTGGCAAAATGAAAAAGTGACAGATTGCTATACAGTTTAGCCTCATCTTCAATACTGGCTCTCCACTTTTTACTGTTTTCTTCACTGATTTAAAATTTATACCTAAATTTCTCTACATAGTCACTTTTGAAATTACAATCATCTAGTAATTTCCTTATCTTGTTAAAAAAATCTGTGCACAATTAGAGCTGGCAATGGAAGGTATTCAGGTATGTAAAATACGTTATCAGGGACTTGGGGAACCTAAGAAGAGAAAAGATTTTTGGGAGATTTTTAAAACAAAAAGAATTCTCCATATATTTTTAACAAGATCCACAATCTATGAAGAATTAGGAACAATACACAAGGTCAACATGAGGATAATAATGTATCTTAAATTCAAATAGATCAGGTATTGCTACTGCACAAAATAATTTGGAATTCAAAGTATGTAGCAGCACAAAATAATATAATACTAAATATTTCACAATGAATGAGAATTAGCAATATGATGATGCCTATTGGTGACAAAAATAAACACATGCTATTGTTAATTATTGAATGCTAGTATGGTTATTGAATCTCCTAAGACTGGGTCTCCAATTTTTTTTCAAAGGAAGGAGTCCTGGACTGCAATTTTCAAAATCATATTGGAGAACACTGGGTATATCAGGTCTTCATCCCTGAAAATTTGAATGAGGAATAGAGACCATCAGCACCATATAAATAATAACAAAAAAGGCTTTAACTGACAAAAGTAATTTTATTAAATTATCATCAATTTCAATTCTAAATAATAAAAAAAATGATGCAAAGGAATCAACAATAACATTGACTTTAAATATACACAAACTGAAAAACAACATTAAAGACATTATTTTAAATGAGGAAAAAGAGCAAGAAGAGGAAAAAAAAGGATTGACTAAGATGACCTTCTCAAAAAACAAATTCAAAAAACTCCTAGGCTTCGTGCAATCTTTAAGATTAGAGGGTAAATTTATATTAAAAAAAAACAAATAATGGATTGTTTGAAAACAATGAAAAATAGCAAAATTCCTGGATCAGATGTTTTTACAGCTGAATTTTTTTAAACATCTTTTGAATTTTCATTCGAGAATTTGAGGTAAAAACAATTAAGCAGGCTTGTAAAGCTGGATTATTCTCAACTGTTTTGAAACAAGGTGTTGTAACTTGCATACCCAAGGAGGATAAACCAAAACAGTACCTTTGCAACTTGTGTTAATTTTATCTACTTAATGTTGTATACATATTAACATCAGGATGTATTGCCAAAATAATGAAGTTAGTACTGAATGAAATAATCTGATGAACAAATTGATTTTGTAAAAGAAACATACACTAGTAAAACTACAATGATCACATAAGATATTATGCACAGTACAGAACAGTTACAGATTCTAGGTGTAATATAATTAATCGATTTTGAAAAAGAATTTGATTCTATTGAATGGAAATTTATTCAAAATATTCTAAATAAATTAAATTTGGACCAAGCGTAAGGCGCTGTGCTAAAACATTTTATTCTAATATCTCATCAGCAGTTTTACAAAATGTTTTTTTTTTCAGAGTTTTTCAAAATTTCCAGAGGTTGTTGACAGGGTGATTCAATATCCCCATATCTCTTCTTATTGTGTGCACAAATATTGTCTGTACTATTAAACAATAATAAAAATACAACAGGTATCAAGCTAAGACAAACAGTTGGCCAATGATACTAGTTTCATTCATGATGGCTATTCCTTGTGGTCCTCTACTGAAATATTAAACATCTTAGCAAAGATTTCAGGACTGAAACTTAACACTGCCAAAATGAAGGCAGTTTGGATAGGAAGCAAATATGTGCAGTGCAGAAACATTTCATCACAGGTTAAATTTACATTGTATTACTTAATTTACATCACTGGGTATAATGTTTTCAGTCAATTTGGATAAAATAATAAAGATAATCTTTTTAAATAAAATAAAAATGATAAAAAATTGTTTGAAACAATGGGAAAAGTGATCCTTAACACCAACTTGTAAAAAAAAAAACAGTTGTGAAAACCTTAATTATTCCTAAGCTTAATCATTTGTTCATCTTGTCACCAAAACTTCTGCAAAATGTTATCTGGGAATTAAATGAACTTTATACCTTGATACAGAAGTCAAAAGTCAACAAAATTAAAAGAGAGGTTATGATTTAAACTTTTTCCTAAAGGTATCTTTGCAATGATACATATAGATAAATTTATATTAGCTTTGAAAATAAAATGGATTGGCAGAGTTCTTCAACCAAGCAGAAAATGGGTTAATTTAATTTTAGTTTCAATATAAAATATGCATTAAGCACCTGTTCCTATTATGAGATGACAACATGATGACATTATCCAAAATACAAAATAAAAATACTTTTTGGCACTGTTTTACTGGCCTGAAAACAGTTAATAGAGAAAAATGTGCCCTGGACAAAAGATATGAAAAGAAGTTTATGGATGAAATCCCTTATATGGGTGAACAAAGTCCAATTTTTCTATTGGAAATGGTTTGAACATAATGTAATCTATATTGTGATATGCTTACAGATCTGAGAACTATGATCAACTTGGTAAGCTTTAAAGCTAAATATGGACTCAATATGAATTTCCTTGCTTTTCAAAATATAATTCAATGTGTATGTTGTTATATGACATGTTACAGTTAGATTGTGTATGTGTGTGTGTATGTGTGTGTGTGTGATCTGGATTTTTGATGTAGCTTTAACAACTTTTCTGTCATATTGCTATGATGTCTGCAGTGTGGCAGTTTATAGTAATGTCCAGTACTTTGGGCATCAGGTTTAAAATATTTAGCATCTTGTCCCACCCAGTCATATTGTCCTGACACCTGGCCAACCAGTCCTAACATAAATTTAGCATCTTGTCCCACACAGTCATATTATCCTGACACCTGGTCAACCAGTCCTAACACTAACCTCTAAATGTTGAGCACTTAGCTAGGTAGCTGTTAGTGCCATTTTTTATAAGCCTTTGTTATGATTCAGCCGGGATTCGAACCCATGACCTTCCACATCCGTGATGGATGCTCTAACCACAAGGCCACCAGGGCAGTACTATATAAAGTGTATAATGGCACTGGTTAGACCATTTTTTCCTTTTCAATACTGTATTTTATAACAACAGACTATTACAAATCACTTTTAAAAATGGATATTAAACAAAGTAGTGAAAATAAATATGAAAATTTCAATATGAATATGGTTATATGGCTTTTAGTAAATGCTAACATTTTTACAATAATAAGAAACTTAAATTTATGATGGTTTTAGTTAGTGTTACCTTTAGAATCTTACAAATAAATTAATTAAGGTACAAAATAAAATTATCTGATACTGATACATGTATTTTTGTTTAAAAGTTTCTTACAAACAATACTGAATTTGTTTTGGGATTGTAATATGATAATCAGGATGTGTAAAGATGTGTCCCACTGGATTCAGAATAAAACGAACACAGATATTGTGTCAAGTGTGAAAATTATTATACTGGGAGATACAAGTAGAGATGGAATATATGAACAGCCATTTTATTTTTATCTTCTTCTAGCCAAATATCGCATCTATATTATGTAAAATAAAAGAGGATATGCCTATATTAGATGGGTTGAAGGTTTTTCTTAAAAATTTGGATAAATACATTGCAATCAAATCTGGAAAGAATTATTTATATTGATTTTGGAACAGTGGGTACCATTACTCCACCAGTAACTGAGAAAGATGTGTTATAATTCAAACTCAAATTTAATGACATTGTCGTATAGCATATAACGTGTCTGTAATGCCTATAAGCTAAAAGATAAAAAAGTATTTATTTGGGTCTGACTGCTCCAATGGCCTAAGTGATTAGAGCATCTGCATTAGATGCAAGAAGTTGCAGGTGCGAACCCCAGTCAAGTCATACCAGAGACTTATTTAAAATGTGGTAGCAGCTGCCTCACTTGTCAGCAGTAAGAAGTTAGAGTTAGGACTGGTTGCCATGGTGTGGCTGGGTGGAACAGGATGCAGTTTACCAAATTACATAACTATGAAGGAGATGTCATCTGAATGTTGTAATGCCATTTCTCAGCACACGACAGGTTAGACATAGTGGTCAGTATTAATAGTGGAGGAAGAACCTAGGAAAACCCCAGAAAGAACCACTGACCCACGAAAAGCTACTGGCAAGCTTCTTCACATATCCGAATTGGCTGAATTTGTGATTCAAACCCATGCAGAGATGAGATGGTATCGATCCATAATGGAAAGCACTTTTTACCACTCGGTCAATCAGGGCTCCTTTGTATGAATGAGAGAGTGATCTCACATTAAAGTGTTATGGTCAGTAGGCTTGCACAATGGTGTAAGATGTTAAACTCAGTAATTAAATATCGGCATGCAATTAACTAAATTACCTAACAACAGACACACCAACACTTACAAGATCATCTCATTAAGGCAGCTGATTTGTTTCTGTAAGTCTGACTAATTTTAAGTTGGAAAACGTTTATTAAAAAGTTTGGTATTCCAAACTTGATGCACCAACAGTAAACATTATGTTCGCGTGAAAAGTTTGTAAAGTACACATAGACCTTATTGACCACTAGTACAGTTGTATAAATTTCAGTTCCAAACCCTATGCAGCTCAGCAGCTTGTTGCTATCTCTCAACGTGATGTAATTCTTTAAAATATTTTTTTCATTTCACTTGATGATGGCAATCATGTCTTCCACCAAGTAACATATTCAAATCACTCAATTCCAATAAACATAATTGGATCTCTCCCTGCTTTTATTCAGAACAATCTGAATATTCCTTTTCATTCTTCTTTATTATTAGCATTATTACATGTTTTTTACATATATTGGTAGCTGGTTGCTAGTTTTTAAAAATGTTTATAATCAACAGATTAATAATGCAAATGCTTTGCATGTAAAAATATGAGCAGGTTAAAGTATCTGACATATCACTGTAAAAATTAGTCTGGTTCCCTGACTAATTCCACTACAGTTTATATGAAACCTGGATTCATATCAAACACAGACAAGCCAATTATCTGGATCTTACTGCATCAATCATATTTCCATGTAGTTTTGCCCTTTAATCTGTAAGTCTATAATTTAAGGGTCATTTTTGTAAAACATGGAGCAAAAATTGTAAGGGTTGGCAGGTCTGTAACAATAAAGGAGATATTATATAAAGATGCAAGAGGTCTCATATTAACTTTTATGATCTGTAAGCTTACACAAACATAACATGTTAATGATCTCCAGACTTGCACAAAAATACAACATAATTAGTTTTCTCCACCGTTACCAATGAAGCAGATCCCAAGGGATGCAAGATCTAGCAATAACAACTACAATAATAATAATAATAATAATAATAATAATAATAATAATAATAATAATAATAATAATAATAATAATAATAATAATAATAATAAATAACAATAAATAATGCAGTCAAACATGTCTATGAAAGACACTCAACAGACCACTCAGATTTGTCCTTTATTGACAAGTATCATTATAAACAGGTGAATTTTTTATGTTACCTAGAAAGAAAAGATTTGTCAATGCCTGGTATGTTCAATAAGGTAGGTTTTGCAACAACAACAAAAAACCAGAAAATAATACAGCTTTGTGTCATAAATTAATTTGTTTATTAAATAAATCCAATTAGCTTCTAAAGTAATTCACATTTTAAAAAATTCTATTCAAATGACATCAATGAAATTATACCAACTTTATATTTTGTAAGAAAAATTCACATATTTTAAAAAATAAATCTTATTTTGATATAAAAATTAGTTCAACAGTAAAGAGAAACTTGAAAATATAAACCACTGAATTTTAAAAATATTTTTAAAATTTGGCTTTTGTGTTGACTAGGCTTAGACAATTTGTGGTTAGGAGTAAGAGGTACTCAGTATTACTGGTATACCAGTTACTACAGAATTTGTTTTTCAGTGATACCTGTTATGGTTCTTTTCTCTGTACTGGCACTTGAGTAGTTTCCATCAGTAAATAATGTGTGAAAATTTCCTGAGTAATTTTGTTAAGAATTTAATAGATGTTTTTAATTTTCATGACAAAATAACTACACAAATTATGGGTTTTGTTTACAAACCATTTGTTATTGTCACAAATTATATTATGATCCTTTTAATTATATTTTGATATGTTGCATGGTGGCTAGATAGGATGTAGAGAACGATACTTGGGCAAATCCAACTTTTGGAAAAATTATAGATTTAAAAAGCATCAGTTTTTAGTTGTTTATATGGCAATATGTTAAGAAGACGTATTTCTTTGTAAGGCTGCCAGGCATCCTAAATTTTCCAGAAGAGCAGATGTATTCTCTTTCAATTTACATAATTTCTCATGTCTACTAGATTTTTTCTCATTGATAAGCAAGTATGTTTTATGTTTACTATCCATTGTCCAGGTGTTGGCATCCCACTCAACGTTTCCCTATTATATCAAAAGTATAGCTAGTAAATTGTAGGCTTCTGTGTCAACACTATCCATTGTTATCAGCAAACTCAGCATGTATTTTACAGCATGTCAAATATAGTGTTTGTGGAATCATCCCACTTTAGTTATGTTTTTTCAGTTATGACAAAATCAATAATTAACACACAAATACCAGATTCATCTATTTTAAAGGTATTGACCACTTAATTGTTTTGGGGGAAAAGGGGCTTTGATTTATTTTAAGCTGAGATATTTATTTTTTTATTTCAAGATAATTAATTTTCATAAATAATATAATGGATATAATATGTTTGTTATTTTGCTATAAATCAGAGCAAGTTATTCTTTCAGCTATTGACAGACAAAATTTTTCAAAACAATTTTTAGGCCCATCCCTGAATATTAAATTATTGTTTCCTAAGGTATGGCAAACTGGTATATACTGCATTATGTTCAGAAATACCATGGTCCAAAAGTTTTTATGGTACCAGTTTTAGTTGGGAATCAAAGTCTTTATGCTACTGAGGGTAAATAATTTATTTTATCTGGACTATACTATTTATACTGGACTATACTATAAATATGTTTACTTTTAAATATTTTAAAATTGTTATACACAACAAAAACAAATCCAACATATCAACTATTTACATGGCTTTTTTAACAAGTATCAATTACTACAGCATAGAAAACATGGGAAATTTTGTAAAATTTGACCCATTTAAGACACCATGCAATGATGATGATGATGATGATGATGATGATGATGATGATGATGATGATGATGATGATGATGATGATGATGATGATGATGATGATGATGATGATGATGACTATTTCATCGATCACAGGTGAAGGTCATGACAACTGGAATGTGATCAGTAAGGCCTGCCAAGCGACTCACAAAATTGTAGCAATCTATTCTCTGAAAGACAGAAAGAAAAAAGAAACATTTAAAACCAAAATAGATTTAGCTGTCATAATGATATAAAAATAATATTATATTCACAAATAAATGAATATATAGAACAAACAGTGCCTGAAAAATGAAAAAAAATTTTTACCAAAGAAATGATTTCCAAAATATAAAAATTGCACCATTGTAAATGATACAAAAGTCTTCATAAGGAAACACTTGCATCAATTATTGGCAAGCAATCAAGTGAATTGAAATTTCTGGAACCAAATTTATGGAGTAAAATATGTTTCCTTCATAATGATTACCTGTTACAAAAACATCCACTACCTGGATAATTCAGCCCTCTGAAGTTAATAAAGTCACTATCCATGTTTTTTGGCTTGTTTTAGCAATAAAAGTGCTACCATTGTCTGTCTTCCATTTCTCCAAGCAAATGACTTACTCAGAAATGGAAGACAGACAATTGGATATGAAACTGGGCTCTAAACCTGTCAATGATATGTTACAATTGAAGTGCACATTGTCACAGGCAAATAGGACAATCAGGGGTTAATGAGTTAATGGGTGAAGATTGATAATGTCACCATTTGAATATTCTTTGCGTATTTAATCATTTGTGCAACAACAATGCACATAAATTGCAAAATTAGCCATTCCTTGACAATTTGTAA